AATAGCTTGCCAAACAAGTGTCAGGACAGTATTTAGATGACACTTCTTTCGAGAACATAGTTTTATTTGTATAGAGCCTCATAGAGGCCGCATCAATATTTTCCTTGCAGACAAGGAACGGCGAATGTAGATGATGAGTACAAGCAGTCACAATCTTCACAGCGCAAGGACCATTTAGCACATTTTGAAGCATCATTAATGGCCACTTTTTGCGTTATTATCACAACAGAAGCTTTCGGTTGCTATCCCTCTTGTCTATATCTCTGCAGTCGGTTAGCCATTACTTTTGACTTGCCACTGGATGCTTGTGTCTGTCACAAAGTGGTTCTACTTTGCTAATGAAGGAGTCCATGACATCGCAAACACTCCCATTCAGTTGGCAAGGCATAAAAAAATGTCCTTCACAATGGCACATCCTTGTTATAAAAATGGCGTTAGCGTCTTTGCATACGTGGAGTTGGAAGCATACTCTAAAATTACTAAGACGAATTTTCTTGGGACTTAAATAGATACGATTTTCCTGTTGCATTTTCAGCAGTTTTTACTCGGAACCAGAACCGGAGAAAAAGAAAGATCGTTATGTAGGTGACCTGGTTTTCAAATGACAACCAAACTCCTTAGTTTGCTACAAAATACAACCTTTCATTTTTGAGTGAATCACCTTTACTCACATTGAGATAGAAGTCTTGGGTGGTTTACCATGTCTCACTACCTACAAGCAGTTAGGAAGGTTGAGAAGCAAATAGTTCAGCATGGCATAGGAGGAGGGCATGTTGTCTTTGCCCAAAAGGGTTGGATAGAGCTTTTTGAATGACTATGAAACTACCTCACCTAACGTCCAGCTTAGATCTTTAAATACTTCCAAAGGGGCAGTGACACTTGATCACATCCATTAAAATGTATGCAGTTCTGGTTGTTTTAATGTTGATCTAGTTTTTGACAGAAAGTGAAAACTTTGTTTTGTAAGGGAGAATACGATAGTACTGTTGGTTACGGTAAAGATAAATCAAATGTTTAAACAACTGCTAAAGTTTACGAGATTATTGTGGGATGGAGGAGGTGGAAGGCTGCATGAATGTGAGCTGTTTGAACAGAGCTGATTAATTTGCCATCATGGATCGCTCAGGTTACAGCGTTAACTACAGCCTGCATTGGAAATGTTTTAGCGCCTTTCATCATTTGGGACGCTAAGGTAAGTCTTTTGTAGTAACCTTGACATTTCTCATCACTGGATCAAGGCTGTATAAAGTTTGGGTGCTTATAGCATTTTGGGAAAGGTAACATAATTGTTTTTTTTTCTTTCCATGAACCTTTTTTATGCCGCCCGGTAACACGTTTGTGTCGTTACCCGCAGCCAGATGATTTTTTTTTATTTTTTGGGAACGAGGGAGGTAGAGAGGCCACATTTTGTTATGAATTTTTCAGAGAATATGATAAAACTAGCGGTGGAGGAGCACTTCCTCGCCAAAGTGGATGCGTACCTCAACACCGATGGTACGGTTGAAGTTTCATGCACTTGAAAATATTTGTAATTCTTTAACAAGGAAATAACACCAGCATTGTTTAATTTAGTTTGAACAAACCTTTGCCACCACTGCCGTCCAGAGACCCTTATAGAGTAAATTATCAAATCCTTCTGTTAATGCGTCTGGCCTTCTTCAAAGGTATTTCTGGGTTTGTATTATCTTCAAAGATGCAGAAGCTTTGGAATGCAAAAGCCTCTGCCGAGGGTAGTTTTGTAATCCAAAGGCATGCTTGTCATGGATGGCATGCAGTTAGGCAGAAAGTAATGATGGGCTGATAGGCAATGAGTCGACTTTTGTGAAAGTCATTATAGTAGATAAGGAGAGGCTTGGCGTTCTCTTCTCATTTTGAGCATTTTCTTTAGGGTGTTCCGGCTTCTGGAGTAGCTTGGTAAGCTTTAGCAATAATCTAAAGGTTTTTGTACGAAAACTCCCGAATATGTATAGGTTTTGACGGTGGAGGTGACACTTTCACTATTTTACTCATTTTTGAAAGGTCTGCACTGCGGCAGAGAGGGTTAATCCTGGTAAGTCTTAAAATCACTTTGTAAAACCTTTGTTGAATCAACTTTACCTTACTCATTATTTCAAAGATTGTGTTGTTCTTTTCAATTTTTTTCATCACGTTTTGGTTCTTTTTATATTTGTAAGATCAAAGGCACGATAGGAAGTAGGCCTTCCACTCTCATTGCCCACTTTTTGCTTCTCAGCATTGACGTGAAGGATTCTAAAACAAGAGATTTATTTGATAATTTTGCGAAGGAGAGCCTCCAATGTGTCCTAAAATTGTAAGTATGTGTGGTAGACGGTCATATTATCCTTACGTTGTGGCCTTTTAGAGTCCGCACACTGGTGTATTCATTGGCTGACAGGTTACTCCTGGAAGGCCGTCCAAACACCTGTTAGCAAATGTTGGAACTGGGCTCAAAGTTGACTGTATTCACTTGGATTTTAAGACCAGCATAGGTGAATGACATTTTGAGGCCATTTTTATCAGGAAGTACCAATGTAGCTCCATGCTGGCTGTGATTTCCACAGCCCTTTGTGTTATTCTGTATAAAGAATAATTAAAAACGCGATGTGTTCCTTGCCTCGATATCGTGCATTAGCGTATTTAGATGTTGGTGATGTCTCAATTGCCATTCCCTCAGAATCGTGTTAGCTTGTGCTACTTACAACCACCGAGGTGGGTTGATTGGCAAGTGACCGGCGTTGACGGCTCACAGCATGGAATTACTACATTGTTTTGGCAATGGAGACAGGGGACGAGCTGGCACTTGTGAAATTGATGGATTTGATAGATTAAGCCTAGGTGATGGAAATGGTGGGAAGATTTAACCTTGAATACCTAATTTAGGAATGCTCCACACTCAAGAATGAATCGTAAGGCCTTCGCGATAATCTGGGAGCCACTTCATCTAACTCCAGCCATAATTTTTTAAACTCAATGGCGTACATCCCCTTGAAAGGGAAATAGCGTCATTCGTTAACATTTCCGCTTTGTTCATTATAACAACGTGTTTGTGATTGTGTGCTGAGAGGAAGGATAACACTGCGCGTTTTTATGTTACGTTTTCAGTCAAACACATAGCGAATCGCTCAATAGCGAAGAAGAACATGTCTCCAAGACGTCTTCAAGTGTGAGTGGCAAAATTTTTCTTCTACAGATGGGTGTCAAGTTGAGGTGCTATCTTTATCCAGAATTGTCTTCTCATTAACACGCCTTCCAACTGCTGCGTGTCGTTCTCTTAATTGGGATAGTGCAGCCTTGGATGTGCGAAATGCATTTGCTTCAATGCAGCATTTTTGACAGGGTGTTGCATCACTGCTCATTCTTTTGCCTTACAGTCACCAGACGGAAGTTGCCATATCAATGAATCCCAATATAATAACTCGCCTTTATGTCCTCTTGACGGCCCTCCAAAACCCCTGATTGAGGAATTAAATCAAAGCTTTTCCAAGTCATTGCATCTCAATCAGGTATGTCAGCGTACGCTGTCGATGGGCACGCCACCAATATCCAAAATTCTTAGCACTTAACTTGAAAACCACTTACACAAATGTAGCAACCTCTCACTCTCTCAGCCGTTCAGAATTGTCAGCCCAGCGTCAAAACAAAAACTTACCAAGCGTGATTCTTTGTGCATTTGCAGGTGTCAGAAGTAAATAACAAGAGTCACTAGAAAGCAATTACCTTATTCTTCATTCCCCAAATAGAAACTACATTTGTGGCTTTTTAGTGAACTAAGTAAATGTGACATGGTGAAGCCGCAACCACCTTTTTGCGTTATTTTAGTACTTTAGGGACTCGGGGTCGGTGCCGTAAGCTTTTCATCTAACACACAGCTAAAGTTTTCAAACCCTTACCTTCTCGTAGCGCATGCAACACCTTCGGGCAAGAATTAGCATCCATTTCCCTCTTTAGGTCGGAAGAGGCCTCAACCAACTCACCCTCCGAAATGCTATCAGCGGTAAACCATAAGATTGTGATTCTGACTAATGTGTATTACCGTGATAGGGTTTCATTGTGATCAGTTGTGCGCGTTATTTTTAGCACTCTATGAACGTAGAACGAATTCCGTAAGATTTGGGTTATAAACTACCTAACGCCTAGCCAAGGCTTTCTAAAACTCCCAAGCAAACATAACCCTTTTAGGCAGAAATTGCAAAGCTTTACTCCTTTCAGTTCGCAAGAGGACCAGACAGAGCAGCTTCTCGACAATTCCCCAACGGTAAATCATGTAGTTGTGGCATTTTCTATTCTCAAAACGTGAACATTGCGTGGCAGTGTTACAGTCTACTCCGCGCATTTTTTTTTTAGAATTACTTGAATCCAGTGCAAATGTTGTAAGCTTTTCATGATAGTCTGGAATCAATTGCATCTAACCCTCAGCTAATCTTTTCGAAAATCGCCAAACATGGGCAATCTATTAAGGCAGAAGTTGCATCTGTTTTATCCCCTTCAGCCCAGAGGCGGCTACAACAGAACTGTCCGCCGAGTTGTCTTCGATGGTAAATCATACAATTGAAACATTTCCTTGAAAACGGATGAGGATGAAATAGTGATACTGTGATCCTCTCTACGCACTGTTTTAGGATTACACGAACGCGGGGCAAATGTTGTAAGCTTTTCCTAATGCTCCAGAACACGCTCCTTTCAACTCCTGTCTAAGGCTTCTTAAGAATTGCAAATACATGTAACCTCTTGAGACAGAAATTACTACCGGGTTTACTCCCTTCAGTTCACAAGGAGACTCGACAGAACAACTCAGGAAACTTTCAACAGTAAATCATACATCCTCTTTACTTTATTCCTTCATTTCGCTGCTTGAAAAATGTATTTCGTGCACTGAATATTGTTAGGGTGGTCTTGCAAATTCGAATATTTTTTGCTGGCCGTTTGTTACATTTTCGCATCATTGTTTTTTACCTCACTGTCTTCAGACGGTCCCCGTGACTAGAAACACGTTGTGGTTGATGATCGTGAACGTTTCTGAATCGGAGCAAACACTGGAACTAGACTATAAGGTGAGCACTTTTTTGAAAGCATCCAAATGCATGGTGTCCTTGCATACCTAAGGCGATTATTCTTGGGCCTGTTTGACAGAACGGTGACATTGTGAGGTGGCTTGACTATGATCCAAAGTACCTTGAACCTAATGCGGGTCCGCTGCCTGTGGATACATTTCTGGAGTGTGAAACGTTGTCTGGCAAGAACGTCATAGTGCACAGTGAGAACGCGCGCCTCATCACTTCTAAAATTGAGATGGCCAAATTGCTTCAACGAAGACCACGGGCTAAGGTCGTTACGACCTCCTTCTGCAGTACCCCCGAAGAACTCTCTGTTGAGGTAATCTTCAACTCTGACATCGGGAAACTCATTTTCGAACCTTTATTCTCCTTCGTTTTGTCACACAATACTTCCTCAATGTATTCTCTTTTAGGCTGGCGAAACTATCTACATTCTATACGAATGCAACAGTACCGACTTCATGGCAGTGAACAAGAGGTCTCAATGTGGAAGGGTGCCAAAAAGACTGCTAAACTTTCAAGCTGCACCTCAGCTCACCTCTAACCGTTTTGAGAACTAACCATTAGTGCGTAGGAAAGTTTGCATTCACCCTCAATGTTTGCTTAACATTGTACTGTTATTATTAGTGAATGCAAATCATCAACGTAGAACTATGAAGTTGGAAACATAGAGCACAGTTGATTTAAATTGTCACTCACAATGGCAAACCATTCTGCTATTCTTAAGGTGGGTTGGTGTTTTCGAACTAGCCCATGCATTTAAGATTGCCACCTGTGTGGGCTTGTCGCGAGTGTGTAAGCACACGTTACTGCTGTCATTTGGTTAGACGCGGCAGTGAACATTCCCTACACGTCAGCTCCATTGAGCCTTAAGTAGTAGGTAAGAGGTCATTAGCTGCCACTTTGCTTATCCTCCTGACGCGTGTGGACGTGGGTTTTGCAGTACCGTTAGCGCTGCTGCACATTTAGCTGCTCTTCACCTTCTCATTTGAGATGATTACTTGAGGGCTGGTAAAGGTTAGGATGAAATTCATGACCGGGATGGGAAAGTAAGGATAACTGAATGAATGCGGGTAGTTCGGCGCTTTCAAATCGCTAAGCTTGTTTAATGGTCCACTTGCAGTAGTATTGAAGCCTGCAAGACCTTATGATGACAGAGGCTTGCATTGAATGGTATGGAACTACCCCTCCAAGCATGTTCTTCTTCACAGTTTGAATAATCCCATTGGTAAAGGTACACCGTCTTGGGGGCGACATTTGGAAGACGCGGCGTTTCTCGATTGCAATGCTTCCACGGTGTACTTTTGTGGCATGAGATTGTCCCCCTCACCGGGTAATTGGCGCACTCTGACAGTCATTGAGGTCTCATGGAAGTCTGCTTCGATTCTTTGCTCTCCAAGAGTCATGGATAGCTAGATTGAAAGAGACCAAGTAGTGATTTGGAACTTCGACAGCGGCGGACACTTCAACCACCTTTTGTGAAAGTAGGTTGAGCTCATTAAGCAGAATACGATGGGAGACCAGTTGCACCTCAAGCTTGTGGCATGGAGAGCAAATTAACACCGCGAAAATTGAAGTTGCCACATTTTCAGCTCGTACAAGTCATCAACATGAGTCGAATAAAAGCATGAAATGGAAGGAGTTCCACTAAACCTTACAGGATGGCATTATAGCATGAGAAGATGACAATGAGGCGGCGTTAGAATTTAAGCGGTAGGCGATTTACGTCAGTCTGGGGTGGATTTGGCTCACTAAATCTATAAACTGACCAAGCACACGAATACCAAAGCAGCTTAAAATACAACGGAATGGCGATAAGGCGTTGAAATTCGCGTTCATTCACGTGCTGTCAGTTAGACTTTACTTTTGCGCCTTCATCAGAAGACGTTGCATTTGTCACACCCTTCTCTTATACCTGTAAGATGCAGAAGGGAGTTGTGTGACGCTCTTGTTTTAGATCAATTGCATTACTGACGGCAATATTTCATCACGTTTTTTAAGGATACTTCTAACGCTTAAATGAGGCACCGTGACGCTTCGACTTTACACTTCTTTTACAAGGTTTTTTTTGACGTGAAATGGTGCATTCAAGAGTCGGAAAAAATTCTCACTAGTGGAAAACTTTCGAGTTGACACGTCGTTAGATTTTTTGGGATACATAAGACCTGTTGTCGAACTCACAGCAAATATTCTCTCTTCTGTTAACACTTCGGTTGTCCATTCATCCATCTGGAACCCATTGGTCATGTTCGAATACCATCGAATGCTGCTGCACTTTGGGTCTTATGGAGACTTCAGAGCGTCACTACTGCATGGACTTCTCAACACCCTTCAGCGTGCATTTAGATCTGATCTTTATAATGCGATCATGCATTAGCCTTTCAATACGCACACTAAGCCCCATTGTTCACTGTTGGGGCAGAGGAAGACGATAGAAGGCTGAAGAGTGTCATTTTAAGAGCAAAAGGCAGAAATTTATGCAGCTCCCTGGCTGTCTGTGCTTAAATAACTAGGCGACTCCCGCCTTCGTCAACTCATTCGCAATCGTTTAGCTTCGTTGGCATATTCGACCGGTGTATGGCGCACAAATACGTTTTTTGCGGGTTGCTAGACCGACGAAGGAGGAAGCACGCTTTATCGATGAAGCAGTCCTCCACCGATGCCTGAGTTATCAATGGGACAGCGGAGATTGAGAGAGTAGCCGTGCCCAGCTGGCAGCTGTAGGATCTTTACAACAGGTTTCACGACAAGCTACCAAAAGAACAGATTTGAGTAGTATATAGCAGAAGCTGCTGTCTGCTTTAGAGGTCAAACCAAGCATGTATTGCATTCTAATATTTGATCACAATTCGTTAAACAGGGCAGCCAAGGATGCATCTTACGTCATCTCCGACTCTTGCGACTGTTTGCCTAGCTGAAGCGTTCTCTCTTGAAAGTTTGCAGGATTGAAGGTGCTCTCTTCTGATCACAAAAGGAATGCAGTTCGGAGAGCAACGACAATGACAACGACAATGGAATTGGACATAATTTAAAGCATTTACTTAAGGCTTCTCAGGTCATATTTCTTCCCTTTAACGTTCTCCAACATTTTAATAGAATAGTTGTAAGGCTTTTGACGAATTTACCCCTCACTCACCGTTAAACGATCCCTCGAATCAGAGATTTGAGCTTAAAAAAGAGTCCGATACTTTCCTTAAGTGAGTCAAATTTCCAATTTGATAACTTAACTTCTCACAGAGGTTTTTAAGGGAATTCTGGCTTTTGTGTGGAATCCAAGAGGTTTGTTCACCTGTGAACTTAATGCTTTTAAAACCACATTAAGGACGCCGAATTAAAAAAATTATAAATTGTCATGTTGACTAGGTCAATTGGGTGGGATTACATTACATTACATAATTCGCGTCTCATTCTTCACTATGACATAAACTTTTGGTAAAAGAAAAAGCTAAGGCCTGCTAGACTTTAAATGGGAGCAAACACTGATGTATAAAATGAGCTGGTATGCTTTAGGCCTTGTGCTGGCATAGAACGGTTTATACCAGTGTGTGCTGTCAGCTAATGCCATTTAGCGACATACATTTGGCGAATTAGAAAGATGTAACAATTGAAGTTAAATAACTCAACGAACGTGTTAGAGATTGTTCTAAAAACTGTTGTGAAGAAGAGCAAATGGACAAGTGGCCAGAAATGCATGCCAACATACCTACCTTTCGGAATTTACCAAATATTTGGAGTTGACTTCATTTACTTTTAGCCGTCAAGCTTGTGGGTCTTTTGTAAATTTCCTGACTGCTAAGGCGTTCCAGTTTTGTGGAGCAAATTGCTAAAGAAATCCTAGTTATCGTTTTGTTTAAGTGCTCAATGTGAAAATTCGGCTACCGGGATTACGCCTGTCAATTCGTGCCGCACTTTTTAGTTTTTGGTTTCTGTGGTGATGTCTCGATTGCACGAGTTAGCCGTTGATTTAGGTGTGTTCTCATCTATAGGAATCGCACATCGTGTTGATTGATAAGGCTCAGTATTCTTGTGATACATGGACATTAGTTTGCTGATTTCTTGAATGGTTTCATGCAGTTTTCCACGTATAAGCTTGCACATTTCTGCTGTGGTAGCGCCGATAGGTGTCCTAATTGCATACTTCGGCCGTTAGTCATACTAGTTCTGTGAGGGTATCTTCTTGCTTTTCGTTTACAGGTATAGAAGTGGATAAATTTGCAAGTCGAATTGAGGAAGAAAGGCGCAGAATAACTGGTAGGTTTTTTCAGTAGCTCTTTGCTAATGCTGCTTACATCCTTCTTTTAAACAAAACTTCGTCCTAGTAGCTCGCGGCTCCAAGGTGGAAAACATTCAATGCTTATGCACGTGTTCACTATTGGTATTGTGGTTCTTGATTCTGCATGTTTCGCAGTAGGATTTTATGTAGTCGCATTAATTTCACCGTTGGGAGTGATAGGATTTCGGCTCGTTTGCCGTCATTTCAATTAATTCGAAAGCCACGATGGCTGGTCAGTTATTGCATTTGCTGTTGAGTTGTTTCTGGAGTTGAATCTGTGCTCTGCCTGCAATTTCCGATAGTGGCTGTTTCAAACGAAGTAGAGCAATATTTTACATGACATTTACGCGTTGCCCAACTCTCAGCGCCATCAACTATGGTTCCCTTGGAGGTCTCGCTCCATATGCCCTTTTTATGTTGGAATATTGTCTATTCTTAAATCCTAAAATTACTCCATGATTAAAATTGATTAAAATTTGCATCCATACCTCACTTGGGTATTTGACGTCCAGTTTTCAGCTCTCATGGGACGGTTGTAGTTTTGGTAGGCCCTTGGCCACGGGATCATAAATGGGTTTTTTTGTTTTCGTTGAGTTCTGAAAGGTTCTTCCAATTCTGTCATTAGCCGTTGCTGAAGGATTACATTATATATCATCAAAGACGAGTCTCACCAGTCTAGCTGATTTGCTCTTTGGTAGCCGGGGATGATGGACTCATTTGTTCTCTCCTTCCTCATGTAGCTGATACCAAGTTTTTCGCCATTGCTCCTTTCCTTAGTACTAGCTTAGGCCTACCTGCGGTACGCAATCAGTTCAGTTATGTCGCCAATGCTGTTATTTCCAGCTTCTAGTAGAGTACTTATTACCTAAATTGCTATCAACTCGCCATTTCGTTAGTTGACGTCGATGTCACCTCTACTTTTCTGCGTCTAATGGCAGTTTTGGTCAGAATGAAGGGTCCCGGCGTCTTGATGGCTGCGTAGATGTAATTCTGTATGACCGTTCCCGCTGATTCCACTCCATGTGTTTTTGGATCAACAATTTTGATGATACCGGTGAAATCTCTATGCGACATGTGGACAACCCATTTGCAGCGGTGGAACCGTCAATTTATCTTCACGGGAACTATAAATGATTCGCATTGTTTTTTATAGGAGTGCTCATTTTTGGCTTTCTGTACAACCGTTTTGCTACTTCGTTTTTTTTTCTGCTAGAAACAAAAGCCCGGCTGGATCGCCAGCTAAAACAACGTCTAGACAAGGAGGAGGAAACTTCAACACTGAAAGCTGAATTGGAGCGCCTTCAGAAGAACTTGTTCGTGTCAGCCTCTACTGAGGTCGAGACTATCTGTGGGCCTTACCTGATAAAGGCTCTGGGGGAAGTTAGAGCCGCGGCTCAGCGTATGAGGTGAGTGTAGGTAATCGCGATCCTCTTTCTAACTTTTATCCACTACGTGGTCGACTGTTCCTGGTTATCAGTTCCACTGTGCTCACCCGTGTTCACTTTCTCGGAATCTATTCTGAGCCTATTAATCCTGCGCCCATTTAAGGTGCATTTGCTTTGATCATCTCACTGGTCTCCTTTATCCACGTCAAAGTCGTCCACTTGTTCATCTTACCTACCTTTATTGGGGATTTCAAACGTATCATGATTTCATCTATCCCTTCATTCTCCTTCCTCCAATCTAGGGGCATGCATTCACTCTGTTTCTGTCCATCAATCAATTACTACTGCTTATATATGCATACTTCGCATCCTATGACCCTCCTTTTTCGACTTCACTGACTTGCATCAATCATTCATGTTTGTATGCATTCACTCTTCTGTCCCAATTCTTATTCGTTCACTGATTCAGCGATCTGTTCCAAGTGCAAGCATCAATTTTAGCTGCTGCTTCATGTTATTTGCCATTTACACACTTTACTTACAATTGTATGTCGCCATGTTGTCGCTTTTCTAGGGACGAGAGGATGGAGATCCTAACTGAATACAAGACTAAGTTAGATCAGTGTGAGGTTCTCTGTCGTCGGAATGCCATGTTGGAGACCTTCATTGACACTTGGCGCAAGGGTTTACCTGAGGGCAAAAATCTCTCCGGTAAGGGTGTCTATTATTTCCATTGTCTCGTGAATATATCCAAGATGTGGGGATATTGTTTCGAATGGCTTTATGGTTTTTTGGTTTTACTTTGTTTGGTCTTGTCAGCCGTCGTACTGGCTATTTGACTGCTGATATTCATTGATTCGTTTGTCAACCTGTGTTGCTTAAATTTCCTATCATTGTTTACAGCCACGAGGTAATTACTGTTGATTGGAACCTTCTGCAGAAATCATCTACACGTTTTGTAAGCTCTTCTACTCTACTGAATAGTTTCAAGTGCTGTCTCACCGTAAATCGCGTCATCTCCTGCTTATCTCCAATCACTATGGGATTGGCGGGGCGTTTGCCTGTTCGGCATGTCTGGAATTATCTTACTTATACTATAAAATGGTAATCATCACAAATTACACTTTGTATTATCGTTAAAATGGTTTTCCAAAACAACGCTAATTACAATAACGAGTCTATCGAATAAGCTAAATGCACATTAGTCTATTACTGCTTTTTGCCATCTGCGTCACTACCTTGGTTCACACGATGCGAAACGTGATGAGGACATTCGGAAGAGGTGACCTAATACACATATATATTTTGAAAGGGGTCACATTTGAACTCATGGTAAATTCTACCCGGCTCATTGTTCTGGTTCGCCTTGTTGCTTTTGCCGGGATGAAGTTCTTATTGCTTCGATAGATTGCTCACTGTTGGTTGAAACACCATTTTTAGGTCGCACCATGTGTTTTGGTTTAGGTCAGTTTTGTCTTTTTTCGTAGTGGAAGATATATCAGTGAAGAAGTATATTGTAGAGGAATACGTGGATTGCGTTGTATTTGCTTGATTCGCTTCACACTAGTTGTGCGTTGGGAAATGCGATTATAATAATTTCTGCATGCCCTTAACGGGTTGTCGCAGTCACTGTGATGTAAGCTTTCTCTTGTTATTTCACAGTGAGTGAATATTTTCCTAAGTAATTAGGCTGTCCATTTGAACGCGAGTGAAGCATTACTGAGTGCTGGGAAATTTTTTTAAAGATGAATGCCACTTCATCTGTGATTACTTTTTTATTCGTCCTATTCAAAGGCTGGAATGGTGAAAGCAGACTGATTTTTGTCTTAACTAAGGCATTAGTTGATGGCAAACGTAATTGGCTACGATTTGCGAATGCTGGAAACTTTTGGTGACTTGGCTCTGAAATCTGCATCTGTTTTTCCTGTTTTGTGTTTGTTACTTCTTCATCACTCATTATCGAAACACGATTGTCTCCATGTATAAAAGTGGCACTGATTCCATAGGGGGTTCTCCTAAGGGTCGGAAAAAATTAAATAGCGACTAAAGTTTGTATCTGAGCAGCACTTTTTATCGACGGAAGTCTATGAAGGCGACCATGATTTTTACGGGTTCGTTGAGGTGCATTAGAAAGACAGGTGAATGGGAGGCTCTTATCAGTTCCTACTCTCTTTTCATTTACAGAGTTGCCGGAGCTCATCAAGAAATTGTAGGTCCCCGTTTTTTTCTATTTTTACTATTAAATTCATAGGTCAGAGGAAGTGTCCCGGTTCTATTCCACGCCTGTCCACAAATTGTTGGAAGAAGCGCTGGCACAGGTGAGTGCTTCGTGCATTTTAAAGCACTTATGGTGGGAGAGGGACGTTGTGTTGTTTAACGCCTTTTACACGTTTTTTTACCGCGAGGTTCATTTGGTAATTGATTCTACTCGTCTCTAATCGGTAGACTGTTTATGGTTTACTGCCGTATTGGCTGCTTTCTTTCGCGATAAACCTAATGCAGTCCTGGAGCAATTTCAGTGACGCTGATGCCAGTTAACTGAAATGATTGACATGTTTAACCTTACTACCACAAGGCTTACGTACTTTGTGGTGAAGAGGTTTAGATAATCCTGAGATGAAGTTAAATGGGGTCTTGTGTTGTACCATTGTATTTCCAATCAAGGTCACAAGTAGTTAAATTGAAACTGACTGCTTTTTTCCTCTTAGCTGCCTAACGCAGCTGGTGATTCAGCTATGGAGGTGTCAATGGTAAACACGTCGCCAAGTGAGGCGCTGCTACCACCTTCGGTGCCATCAGTGGCAGGAAAGCCGCCGACTGTCACGATGCCGCGTTCAGGTTTGGTGGACGAGACAATCTGCAATGCTACAACGGTAGAGACATCGATTTGTCGGATTCGTGGAGGTCCGGAACCCTCAATCATCCTTGGTGAAGGTGGTCCAGGAGAGTTTAGCCGTCTTGAATGTCTAGATGCGACGCTAATGGATAGGCAAGGTGAGTGAATGGAGTCAAGATCGGAAGTGTTAAGGTTCTGAACCACTTTCTCTTCACAAGTTCGTTCGTCATTGTCTTTGCATCAGAGTCATTAGTCTGAGTTAACAACACTAAGTGTTCAGACCCAACTGGGACTTTTTTTGCTCTGGGGAGCAATTGAATAATTACGAGGTAGAAGTCAACTTTCGGACATTTGTCAGACTACCAAATGCTCTTTGACGGCTTTGTCTACCGTTGATGTGCAAATTGAGGATGATTTTAGGTGTATAAAGAATTATCTAAATCTGTGGGCAACTGCAGTAGTCACACCACACGTTAGGAGTTTCCACGCCAGCCACCTATAGCATGGTTTCGCTGTGCGTTCTCCAATCGCTCACTTACTCTCAATTGGCGGGATCACGTTAGGTGCATCCTCAATACGGTAATGGTCACCGTGGGTGTGCTGCTGAGGTCTATGTACTACTTCAGATTTTCACGATTTCATTCTTCACCGTTCGTTGCTGCATAATCAACAGGATCGTGCGCGCATGCCCTATACTTACGTATGCGCCTCTACACATGGGCGTTAACCCTTAAACCTTCAATTGTCGGTTGTGTTGCTGATGGCTTAGTAGAATCCACGCTATTGGAGCAGGCCCACTTTCCCTTCATTCGGTCACTCGCAAAAGGTCATCTTCTTGGGTTCAGGTCGCTTTGTTGACCATCATCAGGTGGACATCCTCCTCATTCTTGTGCCTTGTATTCTCTTCTTTTATAGGCGTCTGTTCAGAAGATGCACTTCGCAAGTTGATGCAGATGAAAAATGATGTAACGGTGGACCAGGACCAAACTCTTTAACTCCATTCCTTTCTCCTCTTCTTGTTTCAATATGTTATGAATAGTTTTATTACCACATCCAAAACACTCAGTAACGAGCGCTTTTTTGATGCTTGAGGGTCGGGTTCGTTGTTAGCGAATTGTGCTCTCCTAATTATTTACTTTGGTACAGTGTTGTGGCATTAATTGGACGCCAGGCCTTGGAAGAATGGGGTTGTTTAGTGGACGTTGACTTGGTTGATGCAAGGCAACTGAATTCATTCCCTACAAGGCGATGTCTTTAGTCTCTGTGGGCCTTTGTGGGACTGCGCTGCCAAAGGCTGCATTGATTGAGTGGTTTTGCTGTTCACTATTTAAAGTCAGACGCTGCTAGAATGTGTGCAGGATAGTGCATTTGCTGCATCATCCTCTCTCTCTCTCTCGCCTTTGTCATATCCCTTGAAATCATTTTTGTTTACTGTTTTGCCGATTTCTGCAAGGGGCTTGCCAGCACATACGATACCTCGATCAAGTTGCCTGCATTAAAATACGGAAGCTCGGTGGTACTGGAGCTTCGTTTAGTTGGTTGATCTTGGTCATGATCTCGCATAGTTTGTGCCGACCTCCGTAAGTGCCATTCCAGGTGGGTGGTTGAGCAGAAGGGGTAGTTCGTTGGGTTCGGGGTCAGTGATACGTTTGGCATCCATTCCAGGAAGGCGCTTCATTTTTGACCACTTCTGTTCAAGGACGAGAATGTCATCGAGATAGGCTGCGAGGTACTCTAAGGATAAGTTGAGTCGCTCTGTTTTCACTAGATGTTGGGAGGTGACGCTACTGGCACTGCATCCAATACACGTTGCATGGAATCCGCAAAGCTCGAACACTAATGAAGTCGCTGAGTTATCTTTGTGCGTTTCCACACTTCTTGTCAGAGTTTAAAATGTGCGAGTCGCCCAGTGATGCGAGTACGGGGAGTAATTAAGAGACGCCTTCGTTTGCTGATGCTTTTAAACTTCCTTAATCAAGGCACAGTCAGTGCTAATGGGAGGTGTGTTGCAAATACTATGATGCTAAGACTCTGCCATGTCGTTCTTGTGCCAAAATGAATTTTCTTCATGTGGAAGAGGAGTCGATGGTGCTTGGCATCGGGGCAGAAAATGTCTCGAATCATGGAAATCCTTTTTGCCTTTATGGGCGACATGCGTTAGCACCGCGATCATTCATGACCAGGTCTATGGCTTTAATTGATTTCCCTACGGACATCGCATTGCTGCTTTTAGTAGCTAAACGACCGCCTTGGTCAAGGAAACATCAACCATTCACAATTTTCTGTACAGGCGCCTTTGCCTTGTAAGGCCCTTCAACTGTATCAGTGGCATCTGTGTTAGCAAACGTGGAGGACGGAAGATGAAGGGGAGCGACCGTTTTGAGCAATTTGACTACGACCAGGACGCACGTGTAAGTGTGCACGAAAATTTATTTGCATCATAGTGCTTCTTACAAACAACCAGTTGAGGCAACGCCAAATACAACGAGGAAAAACTCTTTGTTGCATGCAAATACAAGAAATACTTGACATTTCGTTAAATAATCTTAGCTGAAGGACTGTATTGGTAGTACTCAGGTTGTGATTTTCGCAAACGAGATTAGTTGCCTTCGGCCTGATGTGAATCATGTCATAGTAAGTAACACTGACACGCTTACTTCCCCAAAAATTGAGTTTTTTTTAAAGAAAACTGCGTAGTGATGCACGAATCTAAGTCTGCAAGGTTGGAGCCTCATCTGAAATAATTTCGGTCTCAAAAAGGCTCCTCGAGAATTGTTGCTTGTGTTTTAAAGACATAATTCACAAGGAAGGCATAGTCATCGTCCGGATTGACGAATTTGTCTTCATGGCGGTAAACAGTACAAGGAGGGATCACGGGTCATGGAGCAAGAGTAAAAGCCGCCTCTATTCTCTCCACTACTGTCAGTCTGAGCTTTGAAGTTCTTCCACTGAAATGGTAAGTTGGATGGTAGGTGAAAGCCCCAAGCCCTCCGCCCGCCCAATGCGAAGGCGCAAGTCTTCTTTTTTTTAAGCAAGAGTTATTTGCTCTGCCAAGTTGTTTTTACAATGTTGTCCTCCTTCAAAATGCTTTCATCTAATCATGCTGAAGACAGAGAACACAAATGCCGAGCAATTGAAGTTTAATAATCACTTGAGCGAAAGGTACTTAGCAGTGTGAATGAGGTGTGACAATGTGACATCACACTGCGGACGAGTATGCAAACAGGGAGCGTGGAATCAAATTGGGTAAGGAGGAGGGGAGGAGGAGGAATGCGCTTGTGTGCAAGTTAAATGGCGCAGACCACATGCTCTGTGAGGTACGCAGGCAGAGTGATGGGTACAGGCGACACGATAGGCTCGAATGCGCTCTATCAGGCATTTTATTGCAAATCGAGTCACTCATTACAGAAGTACCCTTCTACTCCTAACTTCATTTTACTTCACTTTGGGATTTAATATTGACAAATGGGACATCACAAAGCGAATGGACTAAAGCCACTGTTCTTTGTCTCACGAGATTTGTGCCATTTCATGCAAATAACTGTCACGAATTCAAATGAGTATTTTATGAACGCGAAAACTCATTGTCAAAGTGGAAGCAATGAAAACGGGGAACAGGGTTAGCAAGCTAAAGTGCGACAAGATTGCCACTGGCACAAATTAAAGCAGAAACTGGAGAAAGGGATGCGTCTTACAATTTTTGTTTTATCATTCATTTCTGCTAGGCTAGCATTGCTGGAGGTGGTTTTTGTGGGCCTTCAGAAGATGAAACGCGGATCAATGGGAGGCCAATTTGACTACTATAAGTGGACAGAATAGACGAATAGGAGAACGAAAGTTGAGATGTTTTGCACAAATTTTTTTAGTAATGAAATTATCTAGCGTCAAGATTATACGTATCTGTGTCAATAATGATGTAATTTGATGCACCCTACACTGAGTGGTTCATCATTCTGCAAATAAGAATTCAGACATTAAAATTTACATTGCCATAAATAGGATGAAAGCTGTAAAGGAGAGCGTGCAAGTTGAAAGATTTTTCGATTTCGAGGATAACCATGCGCATTCCTCATCAAAGGGCGATCATCAGAGGAGTGGCTGTTGCCTTGCTTACCATCGTGGCTCTCTGCATCATTTATCAATTTTGCAAACTGAAGAGGGTGGAGGACGTCGATGAGAAAGAGATAGACAACTCGGATAATTACTTTGCAGCCATTGATGCACAATTTCACCCACGGTGT